CCTTTGCCTGCTGGAGGTGCTGGTGACGCTGGTCCCGGAGGTGCTCGTAGTGGGGGTACTGGAGCTGCTGGGGCGGGCGATGGTGTGTCTGAGGGTACTGCTGCTGGTGGCACTGCGGTTGGAGACCCTGGGACTGGGGGTGCCGGTTCTGGGGGTGCTGCACCAGGAGGGGCTGGAGCTGCTGGGGGTGCTGGAGCTGCTGGAGGTACTGGAGCTGCTGGAGGCGCTGGAGCTGCTGGAGGTACTGGAGCTGCTGAGGGTACTGGACCTGCTGGAGGTGCTGGAGCTGCTGAGGGTGCTGGAGCTGCTGGAGGTGCAGGAGCTGCTGAGGGTGCTGGAGCTACTGGTGCTGGTGACACTGCACAGCCGCGCCTGTTCTTTGCTCCGCCGTCTCCGTCGTCTCTGCCACCGCCTGACTCCGTGCTTCGCCAGGTTCTTAGCCTCCCGTCGTCTACTGGTCTTCCGTTACAGCCTGGCTCACCTCTGCCTGCTCCTTCTCCTTACGCTGAGCAGACCGGGGGCCTTACTGAGCGTCGTGAGCCTGCGTCGCGTCCTGTCTCACCTGTCCGTTCTGGTCGTTCCAGTCGTCGTGTTCCTCGTCAGCGTCAGCCGGCTGTCCCCGGCCCTTCCCTTGTAGTCCGTCGTCCTTCCTCTCCTCCGCAGAGTGTTCCTCTGCCGTCCCCACCTGCGTCCTCTCTACCTATCGTTGCTGACCCTGAGTCTGACCGGTTTCGTGCTGAGCACCCTACTGTCACGCGTCTGCTAGCCACTGTTGTCGCCGACCCGTCGTTTGAGTCTGCTGCTGCGTCTGCCTTAGTCGCTGAGCTTGTTGACTTTCCTGCTGCCTGTCGTCTAGACTACGTCGCTAGTCTTGTTACTGAGTCTGAGTCTGTCTGTCCTCCGTCCGTCGGGGGTGAGTGTGCTCTTGGCACAGACGTCCTTGAGGACAGGCAGGAGGACCTTGAGTGTCTTGCAGCCGCTGCGCCTCATCTCGTGCCCATGCTGCTTGCCCCTGAGGGAGACCCAGATGCACCAGACATCCCGACTCCTCGATCGTACGCTGAGGCGATCGAGGGTCCCTACTCCTCTCAGTAGCAGAGAGCCATGGACGCAGAGACGACATCCTGGAAGTCCACAGGCACCTACGTCGATGAGGTTCCCCCTCCTTGGGCGAATATTGTCAGTGGCATGTGGATTTTCAGGGTGAAGCGGCCGCCACGTTCTCCGCCTGTCTTCAAGGCTCGTTACGTTGCTCGAGGCTTCAGTCAGCGAGAGGGAGTTGACTTCTTCCAGACCTTCTCCCCCACCCCGAAGATGACTACTCTTCGGGTGCTGCTGCACGTTGCCGCTCAGCGTGACTACGAGCTTCACTCTCTTGACTTCAGCACAGCGTTCTTACAGGGCAGCCTGCATGAGGAGATCTGGCTGCGCCGTCCACCTGGCTTCACTGGGTCGTTCCCTCCTGGTACCCAGTGGAGCCTCCGACGGCCAGTCTATGGTCTCCGCCAGGCGCCACGTGAGTGGCACGACACACTGAGGATGCCCCGTCGACTGCTGACCCGTCGCTGTTTCTGCGCACCGACACTTCGCTGCCGCCGTTCTACATTCTCGTGTACGTCGACGACTTGGTCTTTGCCACTACTGACACTGAGGCGCTCGCCCTGGTGAAGTCGGAGCTGCAGAAGAGACACACGTGCACAGACCTGGGTGAACTGCGCAACTACCTTGGCTTGCAGATCACCCGGGACAGAGCACGCCACACCATCACACTGACTCAGTCCCACATGGTGCAGCAGGTCCTTCAGCGCTTCGCCTTCACCTGGTCCTCCGCACAGGCCACTCCTCTGGCTACAGGTCACTCGCTCTCAGCTCCACCTTCGGATGAGTCCGTAGAGCCGAGTGGTCCTTACCCAGAGCTAGTGGGCTGCCTCATGTACCTGATGACCTTCACTCGTCCTGACCTTGCGTACCCTCTTGGCCTTCTGGCTCGCTACGTGGCTCCTTGTCGGCACCGAAAGGTGCACATGGATGGTGCTAAGAGGGTACTGCGCTACTTGTGCAGTACATCGGGCATGGGGCTCGTGCTTGGAGGACGGGATGACGTTGTCCTCACTGGTCACTCGGACGCCTCTTGGGTTGACGACCAGGCTACTCAGCGGTCGTCACAGGGTCACACCTTCAGCCTTGGTTCTGGTTCAGTTTCCTGGCGTTCCACACGCTCGTCTTCAGTTCTCGGCTCCAGTTGTGAGGCCGAGATCTACGCCACAGCCATGGCTGCACAGGAGCTACGCTGGCTCACCTACCTGCTGACCGACTTGGGAGAGCGGCCTCGTTCTCCTCCAGTGCTGTACGTCGACAACAAGGCCGCCATTGCCTTGTGTCAGGAGCACAGACTGGAGCACAGAACGAAGCACATCGCTCTGCGTTACTTCCTTGCTCGAGAGCTGCAGCAGCGTGGCCAGCTTCGTCTTGCTTACGTGGCCACTCGGGCCAACACTGCTGATATATTCACCAAGGCACTTCCGCCTGGTGATCATCAGCGTTTCTGTACTTTGTTAGGCCTTGTGCCCACTCTTCCCCACTTGCTGTAGGCTTTACTTGTACTGTGATTTATACATATATACCTGCCTGCTTGCTCTGGTAGGTAGTGATCACTGTGTTGTTGTTGTGAACTGGCCTTGTGGCATTTTGCCTGTGCTCGGACTGTGTGGTGACGTTGTGATCCACCCTGAGCTTGCTTTGCATTTCCTGACTGGTCTTGTGACCCTCTGTTCTCCCCCACTTTGCCTATGGGGGTGTGTCAAACATACTTGTATGATTATAATTGGGTAGGCTATAGTGGGGTTAGCCTTAGAGGGTACAAAAACAACCTCGACACTTTAGTCTTGTACCCTAATCTCTACCTAATCCACTCACTCTTGCCTGAGGGCGTGTTCCTACAGCCCCTTATCAGGTGACCACTTGTCAGACTTGTGCGGTTCAATGCGATTCAACGCGATCGAATTTTATGCGCGTTTCAGTGCGGTGCGACGCGAATCTCACAAGAGGTTCGCCTGATAAGAGGCCGTAGGAACGCGCCCTTAGTTCTTAACAGGGCGATGAGCCTCCCACCGTGAGGGAAGGTGGGGGAAGGCGTGAGCGACGATGTGGGGAAGCGTAGGTGAAGGCAGGAGAAAGCGTTCGCAGCGGTGGGGAAGAGCTTGGGCGACGGTGAGGGTGTGCGTGGGGGGGTGTGTGAGAGACGGTGGGGGGAAGCGTGGGGAACGCGGAAGGCGAGGGCCAAATGCGATGTCCGCGGGGTTGCAATGCCAGGGCGAGCGAGTGAGAATACGTGATACGCCACTAACATACCGTATTCTCCCGGACATAACACCCTAGGGTATAGCTAAAAATACAGGGAAAAAATGGGGGGGGGGTCTCCTCATAGGAAAAAAATACATAATACCCGGGTCTTTACATATGGCATATCTTAGTGTTAGTGTTTTTTTAATTAGTCAATGTGGGTGTTTTGCTGGTCGTTTTAGCATCACTGCCTGAGGCGCGAATGTGAGTTTCGGCCTTGAACTTCATCGCCCCCACGAAAATTGCATGTGGCACCTCTCTTGCCACTTGCAACGGAAGATTCATCTGCACGTGGCGACAGAGAAATAGTGGGAGGGGGCAAATCTCGGCAGATTGCCTTTGAATGTACCGCGAAATTTCATTGAGGGAGAAATTCACACGACATTCTTCCGTATTGCAGCTACTCGTTAACGACTATAATAATGAATCCGTAAGAAAAGGGGGGGTGTTATAGAAAATCAGCCAAAAAGGGGGGTATAGTAGAAACGAGGTCTATCATAACACCCACCCCGCACAAGCTACCCGGGGGTGTACAATTATGGGGGGGTGTTTTGTCCGGGAGTATACGGTAGTTGTTGTCATGCCGATACGCTACGACCACCAATCCCGTCGAGGTTTCTATTTTGGCCGTAGGATAGATACACTTGGAGTTCTAAGGGTCCCGTAATGAAGGCGGAAGTGCTCGTGGCCTATGCTATGTTGGCGTTTTATTCTGTCTCTTCGAACAATCTAAGAGTACTATGAGTACAAGCACGACCTGAATTACCATGTTCGCAAACTGTGCACACTTTGAGCGGTTGTTCCTTGTGGAGTGTGTTGTTGGGACTCTCGCCAACCAACCCTGCTCTGCTGAACGACTCAGTGTTTTTTGTATGCGATCCTTTCTGGTAACCAGCCTGGCTCGGGCGGTCAACTGTGGGTTCGGTAGGCAAACTGTGAGTTTGCCTTCTTTTTCTTGTAATTCAGGTCTTGGGCTTAAAGTCAGGGTCCACTAACAAGCTAGTCTGTTACACTATACTCAAAATCAGGGATTGGATCTGGGTTGAGAACTCATAAACTATGAAATTTCAGTCTCCACAAATTGGAAAGCCTGAAATCACCCTGAAATCAGGGTAATTACCCTGATAAAATCAGCCCTGCATCAGAATCTCCCCCACCGAATCCCTCCCCTTATCCCTTCCACCCTCTCTTCCCCGTGCCTTGGCACTTGAGAATCTCCCCCACCAGCCCCCCCCTGTTCCCTTTCTCGTCTTATGCTAACACTCCTCATCAGAACAAACGTCTGTCTGAAATTTCCACTCATGAGCTCACAGGCCCCCCCTGGTGCATGATAATCTCCTCCACCAGATCTCTCCCCTAACCCTTCCCCGCTCTCTTCCCCGAGCCCTCTAACAACGCTCTGCTCCTTCAGAACAGCCCCATGTGCTGCCTAAAGCATAGTACCACTCATGAGCTCACGGGCACCCCCTGGTGCTTGAGAATCTCCCCCACCACATCCCCCCCCCCTGCCCGACCCCACATAGCGCCCCAGCAGCTCTCCCCGCCGGTAGAACAGGAACGTGGGTGCCTCCACCACCCCCAGGTCGTGGATCAACTCCCTCGTGCAGTCCGCTGAGTCGCCAAAGAAGCGCGCAAATGCACGAAAAAAGGAGTGTCATTCACGAGCTCACGGGCACCCCTTGGTGCTTGAGAATCTCCCCCACCAAATCCCCTCTGCCCGACCCCACATAGCGCCCCAGCAGCTCCCCCCGCCGGTAGAACAGAAACGTGGGTGCCTCCACCACCCCCAGGTCGCGGATCAGATCCTTGGTGCAGTCCGCTGAGTCCCCAAAGAAGCGGGCGAAGACGGCGTGACCCGCCATGCGGTGGGAGAGGTTGAGCACGGTTTGGTGGATGCGCACACAGGGACCGCAGAAGGTGAGCGTTGCTTCGATCACCACTAGCATGTCCGTGTCCTTGTGCGTCTGTGGGGGAAAGGGGGAGATATGGAGCTCAGTGGGAGATGGATGCGGATGAACTCAGTGGGAGCTCAATGGTGATGCACCAGCCACAGAATGGGAGACTGAATCTCATCACCATTGGTACTGCCACAGTTGGATTGGCATGTGACTGTAAACTTCTGACACCTATATTCGTATGACTTTTGAGAATTCTCCGCCAGACGTCAGGTTTCCAGGCGTCTTAAGACCAGAAGCCATGACCTTGTGCAGACTGTGTTTTCTCAGAATCTTTTCCCCCGCTTCCCCGTTTCCACAACCCCCCTCTACCCCAATCCTCCTCTTCCCCACCAAACGCCCCTGGTGAGCGCGCAGAACTCTTCCGCGGAGTATTACAGCACGTTGATGTAGATAGTGAGCCGCACATCTCCCCCTTCTCCCCAACCCCTATCCCCAACCCTCTCTCCCTTCCCATTCCCCTTCCCCTTCCTCTAACCCTTCCCCTTACCCTTCCCCTTCCCCTTCCCCCCACTCTCCGTACCTCAATCAGCGTGCGGAACTATTCCGCAAAGTGTGCCCTTCCGCGGAGTAGTACAGCAGCTCCGCGCGCAGCACGTTGACGTAGATCGTGAGCCCCGCACATCTCCCCCCTCTCTTTTTCCCTTACTCTTCTCCCTATCCCATATCCCCTTCCCCAACCCTCCTCCCTTCCCCTTCATCCTATCTCTATCACCTCCCCCCTCCCTTCCCCATCCCCTTCTTCTTCCCGTTCCCCTTTCCCCCAACCCCCCCTACCTCAATGAGGGCGCGGAACTCTTCCGCGGAGTGCACCTCCAGCACGGGCCCTTCCGCGGAGTAGTACAGCAGCTCGGCGCGCAGCCGCTCCGCGTCCATCCCCGCGTCCTCGTGCACGCGCTGCCCCTCGCGGAACAGCACGTACGACGGCACGCGCGCGCACTGCATGCTCTGCGCCAACCCGCGCAGCTCCGCGCCCTTGTCCGCGAAAATGCGCAGGAACACCGCGTTCGGAAACAACCGCGCAGTTTCCACGAGGGTATTGTAAATCCGGTCGGTATTGGGGAGGGTAGACATAGTAACCTCGACTACAGCGAGTCGCCCTTTGTTCTTAGCCTCCGCCATCAGCCGATCATATTCTTCGCGGCTCGAGAGGGTTATTACGCGCGCCGCCGCGGCCTCTAGCGCGGCAGCCTCCCGCGCGGATGCTTCCGCGGACTCTGGGGAATTCGTGGCGGACGAAGGCGCATGCGCGCCGGTGGTGCGTGTGGCGGCGTCGGCAGAAGACTGAGACGCGCGGGGGGTGGCTGAAGCGCGCCGACCGGGGAAGGAGGCGGCTATGTGCGGAGCGATGGCGCTGGGGAAGGTTGCGGAAAGCAGAGAGCGGCGGAGATCCAGAGTGCGTGCTGACGTGGCGCGTGGGAGAATGGCACCAACAGGAGCTGTTGTTGCTACTCCGCTGCAGCATGCGACTCGGTGAGCCATGACTGGGACGGCGATTGCACGAGACAGTCACGAGACAGAGCTATCGAAGCGCGATGCGCAGCGGGCTCCGGGTTCATACGCGAGTGTTACCACCGGTCCGTTCGTCGTCAAACAAGGTCGTCGTTGATAAAGCAGCTGGGAAGGAAGCCCGTACAAACGCAGGTACTACTGACGTCCTGACTATTCGTGACTCGTTTTCAATGGTTATGTGCGACTGAAATGCATTTATCTGCCAAATTACATAGATTAGATAGGTTAAAAAATGGTAGGGGGGTGGGGAATGGTTTAATTTAAAGGAAATGGGAACATATATGGTATTCCGGTTCCCCACCCGGATGGTCCGGCTTCCTACCCTAGATCCGGTCGACCCGGTACCCGACCCGGTTCCCCACCCGGATGGTCCGGCTTCCTACCCTAGACCCGGTCGATCCGGTACCCGACCCGGTACCGGACCCGGTTCCCCACCCGGATGGTCCGGCTTCCTACCCTAGACCCGGTCGATCCGGTTATCCGCTGTCAGGGTTGGCCTTGGGCTGACGAGAAAAATTCGAGCCGAATCATGAAAACCCTTTACCTCAAAACCAGACTCAACCGATTTCAATGGTTGACCAAAAAATCAGTTTTGTCAGGAATCTCACTAAACCGTACTGAAGTGAACTTCATGCGCACACACTCAACGCTGGAAGGCCGAGCTGATTACAGGGGGATTCATGCCGGGTCATGGCATCTCGCGTCCTCGCCCTGATTGGCTGGGAAAACTCAACACCACCCACACAGGGTTCTTCCGCTCTGCGTGTTTTTCCATCTGCGCGTGCCCGGCATGCCTTCGGCCCGAAGAGAATATCGGCGCGTTGTATACCTTGCCAAGTCAATAGCTGGATTGCACAAAACCAATAATATCTTTTTACACAACCTTTTACATTCGAATTGCAATCCATCTACGGATATATACTGGTGAATGGAGGCTTCGGTGTGTAAACATCCTGAATAATGTATTCTAGCAAATATGGGTGACCTGAGATCTATAATAGCCACGAGTAGATTCTTGGCAGGTCTGCTGATCGGGAACTGACGTGGACACGGCTCAACCACGCCGTTCCCATTTTCGCGCGATTTTCTTGTTACCTCATTCGCCAGTAGCGGCCGCAGAAGTGACAACCTGGACACAATAAATGCTTCTGGGTGAACACGAGCTGCAATCTAACAGACTCAGCCTGGTATCGTTACAGCAATTCGCATATATAGTAAGCTTTACAAACGACGAATCCCAATCAATTAGAAAAATTCAACAACGGTAAGCATTCACCTGAAGGGAATTATTGGTCCTTGGACAACAATAAGCGTTCACCTGTAGGGTCGCCCGCTTAGCCTACTCCATCATATGTATAGACATTAGAAATTTTAGCCCGAACCAACTTCAAAGCATGCTGGGAGAAGTTTGCATGATCTTTACTGCAACGGTCTTTGCATGAACTTTACCGCAACTTTACATGAGCTCGACCACTACCATATTACAGAAGCAGCTGCGGCAGGATCGGCCTAAGCGTATTAAACGGCACAGCAGGGGCCGTTTCCTCCGCCTCCATAGCTCGCCTGAAACACTCGGCAGCAGCTCCCACATCCCCATGCCCTCTCTCCACCAATCCCAGCACATGCCATGCACGTGCATCAAACCCATCACCAGATACCACCTCCCTCAGGTACACCTGCGCCATGTGCAGCCACTCCCCGCCCATCTGCAGCAGCAGGGCTCCCAGCCGTGCCTTGCTGGCAGCGTGCCATTGGTCGATGGCCAAGGCACTGCGGTAGCAGGCAAGGGCCTCCTCAGGGCAGCCTCTTGCCTCTTCAAGCATGCCTGGGGGAGTGAGGGGGAGAGGATGGGAGAGGATGGGAGAGGATGGGAGAGTGGGGATGTGAATGATCATGTGAGAGTGAGGGTGTGAGAGCGAGGATGTGGGAGTGGGGAGGGAGGGGTTGAACGAGCAGTTGATGGCCAGGGCACTGCAGTAGCAGGCCAGGGCCTCCTGGGGGCAGGATCTTGCATCTTCTAGCATGCCTGGGAAGTGGGGGAGAGAGAGGACGTGAGAGTGCTGATGTGTGGGGAGGGAAGGGCGGAGGGACTGGTTGGTGGACAGTGCAAAACGGTAGCAGGCCAGGGCCTCCTGGGGGCAGGATCTTGCATCTTCTAGCATGCCTGGGGGAGTGTGGTGTGAGGGTGAGACAGGAGGAGGAGGGGGAGAAGGACTGGTTGATGGCCATTGCAGTGCTGTTGCATGAGATGACCTTACGAAAGTGGTGTCTCGCTTTTTTCTCGCATGCTTAGGAGAGTACGAGAGAGACAATAGGATGACAGAGCGAGGATGTGAGAGTGAGGAGGGAGACGGAGAGGGATTGGTCAACCGGCAGGTGCTGCAGTTGAAGGCGAGGGCCTTGCAGGGGCAGCATCTTGCTTCATCCCTCCATGACTCACCTGCCACCATCCACGTGTCAGCAGAGTACGGGTCCAGTGTCTGACACTTGGCCACACAGAGGTCGGCATCTGCCGCCCGCCCGCCAGCCAGATACGCCTCCGCCAGGCACTGCCACACCACTGCCTCTGTCACTGAGCCGCCCTGTGTGGGGGGAGGAGGTTTGATCGGGAAAATGTATGCTTGAATGCTTGAAGCCATACATTCACCCAGCTGTGCAATGAGCAATGCTTCCCCCAACCATGCTAGACACCATGCAGTGTACCATGCTAGACACCATGCAGTGTACCATGCTAGACACCATGCAGTGTACCATGCTAGACACCATGCAGTGTACCATGCTAGACACGATGCAGTGTACCATGCTAGACACGATGCAGTGTACCATGCTAGACACGATGCAGTGTACCATGCTAGACACCATGCAGTGTACCATGCTAGACACCATGCAGTGTGCCATGCTAGACACCATGCAGTGTACCATGCTAGACACCATGCAGTGTACCATGCTAGACACCATGCAGTGTACCATGCTAGACACCATGCAGTGTACCATGCTTCAGCAGCTGGATATGCTTCAATCACCCACACTACCACACTGACTATACGCCCTCCCCCCTCCATGCCTTCCCCCTTCCCTCACTCCTTCCCTCCCACCCTCCCGCCCTGCGCTCACCATGTCGCCTCGCTTCTGCCGTGCCTGTACAGCCGCCATGGCTTGCTTTAAACTCTCTACAGCCTCACCAAAGCCTACACTGCACTACTGCCTTAACTATCTTTACCCCTCCCCTCCTCCCTCACTCCTTCCCTCCCTCGCTCCTGCCCTGCTCTCACCATGTCGCCTCGCTTCTGACGTGACTGTACAGCCGCCATGGCTTGTTTCAAGCTATCCACAGCCTCACCAACCTCTTCCCTAAATCTCTCCTTCCCTCCCTCCCTCCCTACTCCTCCTCTCACCATGTCGCCTCGCTTCTGTCGTGACTGTACAGCCGCCATGGCTGCCTTCAAGCTCTCCACAGCCTCACCAACGCCTGCACTCACACCACCACCACCACCCGCCCCGCCTCCGCCTTCCCCTTCCCCCCCTTCTCCCTCCACTCCCCCGCTCGCTAAATGCACTTTGGCATGCAGCAACAGCAGCGCTGCCCTTGCGCCCTCCCCTTTCTCCCCCCCATCCGCTCCCCCTCCCCCCGCGCCCCCCGCTTTCTTCATGGCGGCTTCCCCCACGCGGCACATATCCTCCGCGTCTTTGAATCGCTGCTGACACGTCAGCAGCAGCGCAAGTAATTGCCACGCCAGCAGCCACTGTCCGCCGCCGGCTTTCAGCGCGCGCTTCGCGACCTTCAGCGCCTCGCTGACGTGGCGCTGCTCGGCCAACGCGAGCGCGAGATCCACCATTATAGCTGCTGACGTGGCATCTTCTTCTGACGCCTGGGTTAGCGACTCAACGGCGCGCTTTAGACTCTGGTCACGCCGAGCCGCGGAAATATAATGGTTGCGCGAGTGTAGCAGGAGATTAACTCCCAACGCGTGGAGCGCCTTAGCGCGCTGCGGGCCGCTGCTGGCAGCGAGCTCGACGGCGCGTTCGCCGTAGCGCACGCCCTCTTCGCTCCACGTGTCACGCCGCGCGCAAATCACGGACGCAAGAATAAGAGACGGAACGTGGTCGGGCCGCTCGGAAGGCTGAATCGCGTTTCGGACAACGTCTAAAGCGAGCGCCTCGTCGCTACTATTGTCGTTAATATCCCCGCCTCCCGCAGTGTCATTTGCGCCACCCGCGGGGGAGCTTGCGGGGTCCGCGGGGTTGGTGGGGCCACCCGCGGAGGCGGATACAGCTGCGCGGAAATGAGAGCGCGCAAGGCGGAAGAAAAGGTCGCTCCGCGGAAGGGCGTCAGGGGGAAGCGCGAGGAGATCCGCGACGGACTCCACGCCCCCGTTGACCTCCGCGCCGAGCCCTAGCCCGTCCGCGGGACCGCCCATGGCGTCAGTGGGGAGGGGACAGGGCCGCGCGCAAGCAGGCACGGGCGGAAGGAGAGCAAGCAGAGAGCCAGATGAATAGATGGACAGTGGGAGGCGACGAATGCCTTGCCTCAAAACAATGACTCTACAAGAAACGGCAAGCGCGTGAACAAGAGAGTTTTTCTCCCCCCTGCTGCACCGGGGGGCACTGGCTGTAGTCGAATCGCAGTAACTTCGAAACGACCAGGCCGCAGCGTGTTAGATTGCACAGCTACTAAACAAAATTGCTGCCTAGACTGGCACAATCTAAATTTGGAATCTTGTATTGCGGGCCGTCCCGCTGTGTGAACTAATAGTTGACAAGGAGGGGTGGAGTGGGTTTGAGAACGATGGCGAGAGTTTGGAGCGTTTTGCCTCGGTTGACGGGGAGCTGGGGTGCCGAATGGAATCGGGACGGAGCAGAGCAGATGTGACGAGAGGGAGAGAATGAACGAATTCGATACAAGTGGTTTGCGTTAAAAACAAGGCTATGAGACCATGCATATCACTCATACTTGGATCAACTGCACTTACGCAATTCAAGGTGAATGATGTTTCTCAAACAACAGGTATGAATTAGAGTCCCCAATTTGTCATCGGAAACTTACTCTAACAACCCCTGTTTCTCCTTCACCCGCCCTTGCTCGGCCTTCCCACGGCAAGCACCAACACCCGCACCTCCTATCATCCTTCCCTCTCTATCCCTTCTGCGGTTCATCCACATACCCTGCAAGCACGGCCCTCCCGCCCCTCCACCACCCTCACAGCATCAATCTCAGGAGCCACTCTCGGCATGAAAGCACCCACTCCTCCCCCAACCTCTCTTCCTCCCTCATCCTCTCCCCTTCCTTCATCCCTCTCCCTTCCCGGGGAGTCCCACCAGGTGCCATGAACCAGGGCACAGCAGACAGAGCCATGTCCTGCCAGACGGCCGAATCTGATTGATCTGATTCTGCTGCGGTTTTTGCTGCTGAAGCTGCTGATGGTGCTGCAGATGATGGTTTGTGAGGGACGGAGGATACCAGCGATCCTTTCACAAAGGAAAATCGCAGAGCCACATCATTCCCACCTTCCCCATTTCCTTCCTCTGACCCTGCTTCTTCCTTTCCCACCGCTCCTCCTCTTCCTTCCCCCCCACCCCAGCACCATCCAGCAGCATCCGATACTCCCCCGTCCACTCCCGCCCCTCTTCCAGCACCATCAGCGCCTCAAACGGCGTCACCACTGGCGCGTAAAACGCCCTGCTGCCACCTATCCTGCCACCGCTGCTGCCACCCCTGCTCGCGCTGCTGCCACTGCTACCACTGCTGCCCTGACTCATCCCATCCAGCAGCACCCCCTCCGCACACGCCACCAGCACATCACACTCCGCTCCCTTTGTACTTCCAGTCAACACAGGTTCCCTTTGTACATCCACGTATAAGCCTCATCCACATCAACATTGTACTTGGATGATTTCCTCAGTGACTCAAGAGTCACTCCTCAGTAACTGCTCCACTGGCTCCCTTTGTACTTCCACATATAAGCCTCTTCTTTATCAACACTGTACCCATCAACCAGCTCTCTATTCACACTGTGCATCTTCTCCCTCACGTTCTTCGGCCGCTTATCTGCAAAGCAAGCGCATGGCACCCCGCTTCTCGCCTTCCTCACATGCACCATCGGAGTCTCTGGCAACTCCTTTCTTTGCTTCTCCCAGTAGAACGAGCGGCGTGAGATGCAGTACAGGGCGAGAGAGGGACAGAATTCGCGCAGGGAAGCAAGGGTTTGCTGCTCGCATGTGCTGGTGGGGTAAAAGATTGCTCGCAAATTTGGAGCCATGATAAACGGAGGCCTTCGTTCCTGCTGCTGCTCTTCCTCCTCCTCCTGCCGCTGCCGCCGCCGCTGCTGCTGCTGCTGCTGCTGCTGCCGCTGCTGGTGCAAGAGCCTCTGGTTGCGCTCCTGAAACTCCTCCACTGTAACCTCCTTCTCACCGTCATCCCGACGCTTCTCAACCTTCAAATCCACCTCAAACCGCTCCTCACTCTCCACGACAATCCCAAGGCTGCGCAGGTTGCTCCACTCAGCGTCAACCCCCTCTACAGGCACACCATGCCTCACTATAAGCACCTCCACTGTTGGCGATATAGGGCGCAACCATTCAACCCAGGAGAACTCAGCAGAGCTGCGGCGGTGCACACTCTGCCTGCCAAGAGAAAGTTCGGGTGAAGCTTGAGGGGACAATTCAGGAAAGTCCAGGTGGGAAAAATATTCGTCACTGCGGGAGTGGTGGTCCTTGGATGGGCCGTTGAGATAGGCCACTCGTACGGAAGCGAGGCGGAGGGAGGAGATGACAAGCCGCTGCTGGCCGTACAGCAAGAGGTGGTGGAGAGCGAGAGGTTCAGTGCTTTTGCATGAGAGCACGAGCTGTTTCGCCATGGCTGAGAAAGCCTTGAGCGAGGAAGAGAGTGTGAGGGAGAGCGTGAGGCTGCTATGCGGGAAGTAAAAGCAGACGGTTTGAGCTTTGGACAAGTCGAAACAGAATGTGCCGCCACCACCCAGGCCTGAGGTTCGGGGGTCCAAATCCCAGCTATGGTAGAGAACGAATTCCGTGAGCCGCGGTGTGACCACGTCTAGATACTTCATATCCATGTAGCTCCAGTCCATATGTTTGAGAGTCAAGCTGCGCAGCGACTTGAAGCGCTCAGCCCAGCCTTCCTGGAGACTCCACTTGCCCCGGCCGAGCCTCAGCCGCTGCAGGCCTGGGCAGTTCAAGGAGTGGGTCCAGGACTCCTCATCCTCTTCATCCTCTTCATCCTTATAATCCTTATAAGGATCCTCGTCAAACCTGTCGGATGTGTCGACACAGCACCGCAGCTTGAGACTGAGGGAGGTGAGGGAGGTGAAGGGCCGGTTGAGTGGCGAGCAAAGGTTTTCGAGCTGCTCCTTGTCCGTGAAGGTGAGGGCGAGGGACCTGAGGCGGTGGCGCTGGCGAAGGAAGGATTCGACGCTCTTGATCCACTGCGGGTGCAGCTCGTTGTAAACGAGGTCGATGGGGTGGTGGGCCTGCAGAGAGGGACGGATGGGATCGGTGGAGCAGAGAATGTGAGTGAGGGACGTGAAGTAGTGGGATTGGATTGGGGTTGTCGGATAGGCTGTTTTAGGATCCGCTTACAACCAATCAGGACCTGTTTTAAGAATCTCATATCTGAAAAAACAAGGGGGGTGGAATTCGGAGGCATGCGTTTCGAAGCCAAGGAGAACAAGTGCAGAGCGGAGCAGAGCAGCAGAGAAGAGAGAAGAGCAAAGCAGAGCATCACTCACGGAGAAAGAGAGCACGAGGGCGAGGAGCCTCTTGCTGGCCATGGCGCAGCACAGCAGGGCCCACCCACTTCCATAGCTCCTCGCGTTCTTCCAGTGCTGCCCGGCTGCTGAAAAATCAGGGTCCGCAAATCTCACGGGCAGGTTCTTGTCCATGGAAACTGCCCATGGAAACTTTCGCCTGCCCCGGACAAGGGGAGTCTCAGAGTAGGAGGAGCCGGGTGGCAGCAGCAGGTAGAGGAAGACTTTGTGCCAGAGATACGCCGGCAGCATGTCTATGGGATCACTGAGGGTGGCGGCTGGAAGGAGGGATGGGTAAGATGGGTGATATGGGTGGGAAGGGGATTGATGGGGGAAGGAAATATATAAGGGAATGAATCGAAAGAGAGTTGTTAGAAAAAAAAAAGCTGACTTTATTCGTTGTTTGTTTTCGTTGAGGCTGTGATTTTAGACCTTCAAAACGGGTATGTGCGGCGAAAGAATTCGCGACGGCTTTGGAATAAAGCTGTTTTGAGTAAGAAATTAAAAATCTTCTTTGAGTTCTCCGTTTAACCATCTCCTTTCAAGCACGCGAAGAGCTCCGGTCGAGCACTTATCGTAGGGCCCACCTCACCTTACCATCACTAAAAAGGCTCCATGGTGCAGAGAATGAGATTGACGTAATGGAGATGCGAGTTTCTCATTACGTCATATATTCTGATACTCCTTTCCAGAATGAGTGAAAGTGTGGCGGAGAGAGAGGAAACGACGGTCAAAGTGGTGCACGGTAAAACGGATAGAAATCAAACGGGGATTGGCAGCAGGGACAGGAATAAGACGACGAGGGTAATAGCTAGCTTGTTGTTTCGCAGTGCACGTATAGCTCGCGAGGAAGCAAAAGCAGGAGGGAATTAACGGTGGACGGAGAGAATAGAAGGAGGTGGAGGGGTGTGGAACTAACTGACACGGAGTGCCTGAAGAGTTCACTCAAACCCTCAAATGTTGTTTCTCACTATGTAAGTTATCTAAGCAGGAAGTTGAAGTTTAGGTGCTTCTCGTTCGGAATGTGAAGATGAGGTGGAAATTGGGACGTTGCGTCGCGAAACAATAGTAGCCCTTGCCTTCGGGCTCGGTATTGTTCTTCTGTCTCTTCTCCTCCCGTCGCTCGGCGCGCTCTCCAGTAGGCTGCAGCGATGCCATGGCGATTAAATTATCTTAAGCTCCCAGTTCGCCGATGGAAAGAAGACGCTATGTATTGAACACAAATGTCATGCATTTGCACTCCTCATTTAATCTCGAGCTTTCACATGTCATCACGACCTTAGGTGCCTGGTATTCAGTCGCTGGCAGTTCAAACAACTGCTGCTCTGACCTCCAACACTGAAAATGCAACATGCTCCGGGGTTGGGTTGGGATCCAAATTCGAAAGCGTGCTCAATTGTTGACAAGAGTGAAGTGGGTTAGAGAGCGATTGCGAGAGGTTTGGAACGGTTTGCCCGAGTTGATGAGGAGCTGAGGTGAGGGAGAGGCTGAACGACTTCGACACAAGGTTGTGCGCTAAAAACACCGCTATGATCTCATAAATGTCATGCCACTCATACTGTACCTGAATCAACTGCACTTCAACATACCGGTACTCAATTCTAGGTGAATGACTTTTCTGAAACTGCAGATCTAAACGGAAGTTCCCACTTTGTCGCAACATCAAACAAAACCCCTCATTTCTCTACCACCCCCTGCTTCTCCTTCACCCACCCCACCCCTGCGCGTCCTTCCCTGGGCAAGCACCAACACTCGCCTCTCCTCTCATCCTCCCCTATCCATGCTGTGGCTCATCCACATACCCGGCAGCACGGCCCTCCCTCCCTTCCAACACTCTCACCGCCTCAATCGCAGGAGCCACTTTCGGCATGAAAGCACCCACCCCAACTGCTCCCCCATCCTCGCTTCCTCCCTCATCCCCACTCCCTCTTGCATCCCCTCCCAGTTCCCCGGGCGTCCCACCAGGCGGTGTCATGAACCAGGGCACCTCCAGCCCCTTATAGTCACGCCGCAGTGCCAGGAACTCGGACCCTGACCGCGCCTCCACCACTGCTGACGTGGCATACCCTGATTGGCCGGACGCCCGAGCCAGGGCCAGGGAGTCAGACGAAATGGGCAGAGCAGACAGAGCCATGTCCTGACAGATAGACAAAGCTGATTGATCCGATTCTGCTGCGGTTGTTGCTGCTGAAAGCTGCTGATGGTGCTGCAGATGTGGTTTGTGAGGGGCAGGGGATACCAGCGATCTTTCAACAAAGGAAATCATGGAGCCACCTCATCCCCACCTTCCCCATCTCCTTCTTCTCACCCTGCTTCTCCCTTCCTCGCCGCCCCTCCTCTTCCTTCCCCCCCCACCCCAGCACCATCCAGCAGCATCCGATACTCCCCCGTCCACTCCCGCCCTTCCTCTAATGCCATCAGCGCCTCAAACGGCATCACCCCCTGCGCATAAAACGCCCTGCTGCCACCGCTGCTACCACCACTGCTGCCACTGCCGCCACTGCCACCGCTGCTACCACCACTGCTGCCACTGCCGCCACTGCCACCGCTGCTGCCCTGTCCCATCCCATCCAGCAGCACCCCTTCCGCACACGCCACCAGCACATCAGGCTTCGATTCCCTTTGTACTTCCAGTCAACACAGGTTCCCATTGTACCTCTACGTATAAGCCTCATCCACAATGGTGATTTCCTCATCGACTCAAGAGTCACCCCTCAGTATCTACTCCACTGGCTCCCTTTGTACTTCCACATATAGGCCTCTTCTTTATCAACACTGTACCCATCCACCAGCTCTCTATTCACACTGTGCATCTTCTCCCTCACGTTCTTCGGCCGCTTATCAGCAAAACAAGCGCAAGGCACCCCGCTTCTGGCCTTCCTCACATGCACCACAGGGGTCTCAGCCAACTGCCTCCCCTGCTTCTCCCAGTAGAACGAGCGGCGTGAGATGCAGTACAGGGCGAGAGAGGGGCAGAATTCGCGGAGGGAAGTAAGGGTTTGCTGCTCGCATGTGTGGGTGGGGAAGAAGATTGCTCTCAAGTTTGGAGCCAAGATAAACGGAGGCCTTACTTCTTGCTGCTGCCCCTCCTGCTCCTCCTCTCCCTCCTCCTCCTCCTGCTGCTGCTGCTGCTGCAAAAGCTGCTGCTGCAAACTTTGCTGCTGCAAAATCAGCTGCTGCAAACGTTGCTGCTGCTGTAAAAGCTGCTGCGGCTGCAACTGCCGCTGCTGCTGCTGCCGCTGCCGCGGCCGCTGCCTCTGCCGCTGCTGCTGCCGCTGCTGCTGCTGCGGTTGCTGCTGCTGCTGCTGCAGCCCCTGCTGCTGCTGCAAAAGCCGCTGGTGTAAAGCTTGCTGCTTTGAAATCTGCTGCTGCAAGTGCTCCCGCTGCTGCTGCCGCTGCTGTGGCACAAACTCCTCCACTGTAACCTCCCTCTCACCGTCATCCCGACGCTTCTCAACCTTCAAATCCACCTCAAACAGCTCTTCTCTCTCCACGACAATCCCAAGGCTGCGCAGGCTGCTCCACTCCGCATCAACCCCCTCTACAGGCACCCCATGCCTCACTATAAGCACCTCCACTGTTGGCGCTATAGTGCGCAGCCATTCAGCCCAGGAGAATGCAGTAGAGCTGTGCACGCTCTCCCTGTCAGGCGAAAGTTCAGGTAAAAACTGAAGGGACAATTCAGGAAAGTCCAGGTAGGAAGAGAATTTGTCATCGCGTGGGTGCACGTCTTTGGGAGGGCCGTTGAGGTAGGCAACTCGTACGGAAGCGAGGTGGAGGGAGGAGATGACAAGCCGCTGCTGGCCGTACAGCAAGAGGTGCTGGAGAGTGAGGGGTTCTGTGCTCTTGCACGAGAGCAAGAATTGTTTCCCCATCACCGTGAAGGTTGTGAGCGAAGAAGAGAGTGCGAGGGAGAGAGTGAGGGTGCTGTGGGGGAAGTAAAAGCGGACGGTTTGGGCTTTTGATAAGTCGAAAGTGAATGTTTCGTCGCCACCGGGGCCTGATGATGGGCGGTTAAAATCCCAGCTATGATAGAGAACGAACTCCGTGAGTTGCGGCGTGAGCGTGGCGAGATAATCAAGATCCACGTAGCTCCAATCCATGTGCTTGAGAGTCAGACTGCGCAGCGACTTGAACTGCTCAGCCCAGCCTTCCTCGAGTCCCCACTTGCCCCGGCCTAGCTTCAGCCGCTGCAGAGCCGGGCAGTCCAAGGTGATGGTCCAGGATTCCTTCTCCCGCTCCTCTTCCCACTCAATTTCCTTATATTTTTTGTAACGGTAGTCATAGTTGTCGGATTTGTCGGCGACAGTGCCGCGCAGCTTGAGACTGAGGGAGGTGAGGGAGGTAAAGGGCCGGCGGAGTGGCGGATCAAGGTACCTGAGGTGCTCCTTGAGTGGCGAGTCAAGGTATCTGAGCTGGTCCTTGCCCGTGAAGGTGAAGGCGAGGGACCTGAGGCCGTGCCGGCGAAGAAAGGATTCGACGCTCTTGATCCACTGCGGGTGCAGCTCGTTGTATACCAGGTCGATGGGGTGGTCAGCCTGTAGAGAGAGTCAAGGGCGAAGGAATGGAGGGCGAAGGAATGGAGACACCGGAAGGTTGTTTGAGGACTAACCCGCTCCAGGAATTTAAGATCGAACGCATGATTTAAATAGTGCGACGAATTTGATGGTGCACCTGTTCTAAGTATCTCATATCCGAGGCATGGTGTGGAACTTAAAAAGGCG